TATAGTTTTTGGCTATGAAAATATTTCAGCGTGTCAAGATTATAGAATGTGATCTTATGGTTTCTTTTCCAAAAGAGAGTAAAACTTTGATCTAGTTTTAAATAATGTATTGACTGTGTTGCTCTGGATTTGGTTGTATTTTGTCTGCCTGTAGCTTTCTAAAATCTCTGTGCTTAAGATTAGGTGCAGTACGCCAAGTGATCAGATTGGATGGAATAGTGGCATATTTTGTCTTAAATAAAGTATTCCTGTTAACAAATATCAGAACAACATTTCCCAATTTTAAAAATCACAACAGAGTTATTAACCACTACTGAATTTGTGATCTGCTGTAACTCTTAGTTCCATTTTTGCAGTTCTCCTCCCTAGCCAGCAGTTTCCCAATTTGCTTCTATTTTAGTTAAGACCACTGTCCTTGTTTCTATTGATTTGTCCTCATTTCATTTGGATTATGTCTCTAGTTTATCCAAGTCTTCAAGTCCTATGTTGGTCCTTTGGAACTCTTGCAATTCCTCAAAGCCTGGTGTCTAAGTATTTTAGATGATAATTTGCCACCCAACTTAAATGAGCAGAAGTTAGTCCAGGATAAGCCCTTGTAGGGTTTGTATATTCCTCTCTGACAGTCAAAAAACTGACATTTGAGTAGTGGTTATATCCCTTGTGTGCCCCTTTTATGGTGATTCACTTAAGTGCTATTTCACTTGTTTGCTTATAAGAATGTCTCATGGGACAGTATTAAAAGTCTTAATTATAACAAATAATAGTGTGCTATTGTTTCTTTGTTTCTCATTCTGCCTTGAAATGCAAACTTGATTCATCTGCCAAGAATAAACCAATCATATCTATGTCAGCTGTTCTTGACAGCTTAGTAGCCTTCTGCTGTTTTGTCAATTATTTTCTTTAAAAAAAATTTTCAGTATAGTTCTAGTATCTTTTCCAGATTCTCGTGTGGAAGGCTTGGCTTCTAATTACCTTGATCTTCCTTTTCTAGATACAGAGAGGCAATATTTACTTTTTGTCAGCCCTCTGATGCTTTTCCCCGTGTTCTCAAAGGTAACTAATGAGGGCTTGGATCCTTGAACAGTAAGTTGATGGGCTGTAAGTACCCTGAATATTCTTCAATCTTTCTGTACTCTGACCTGTTCTCTCTTCCCAATGCATAACATGATGCAGTGAGTATCTGTTTACTTTTCTCTGTATTGAAAGAAATGACATTTGACATGTCCTCTGTCAACCGCTGTCCTTCTTCAAATAGACCTGACTGCGTTTTGTTAGTCTTATTTCTAATGTGTTTATATAGCCTTTTCTTACCTTTTATGTCTATTGTGGCCTATCAAGCAAATCTTCCAACTGGAAAATTGGTTGTTGCTAGATAATCCTTATTAGGCATCTCTGTAAGGGAAAAGAGGTGTTGTGGAGTAGTGCCATTCACTTGTAAAACAGCTGGGCTTTCACTTGTGGAACTGAAGATCTGGACTGTATAAGAACAAGAGATGTTCAGCGTTTCTAAAAAAATTACTTGATTTAGGTTTAGAGTCTCCTGGCTTTGGGCCAGAGACGATCTGGATTAATTTTAAGTATAACTGTGTGTTCATGTAGCCTGAGAGTGAACCACTGCACCAGCTTGGTACAGCACAAGAAACAAGACTCTTATGTTCTCAAATCAATTGGCAAAGGAAGAAAAAAAGGACAACTTTGTAATAACAAGGAGAAGAGAATAGATCAGTAACGTGGAAACCAGCTAAGAGGCAGGCTGGATGACGTTTCTGGCTTGATTATCTGCAGTCTAACTTCAGTAACTCTATTTTTCCTGAAATCCCTATGTAACTTAGGCTCTGATATGGGCTTTAGCTCACAGGTATCCCAATATTTCTGAACAACAGGATTGAAGTTTTTAAACGCCTTTGATATTTAATAAAGAAATTTCAATGTCTCAGTTATGTGCTTTTGAAAATGTTTTTCAGGTTTGCTTTTTTCCTGAAAATTTTGCATTTGTATTCATCTTCCACTATGTTAAAAGGAGATAAAAATCAGTGGATGGCAGAATTCCCTGGGAAAAACCAAAAAGAGCCCCATGTCAGTGATGCATAAGGGAATGCTGCCAACAAGAAGAGGCAGTCTTTTTTTAGGCTGGAATTTTTACAGACATATTGCTCTTTAGGCTTTGGTGTGTTGTTGGTTGGGGTTTTTTTATCAGCTGCAGACAAGAGGTCTCGGAGAGCTCCTGTGAAGGAAGACTGTTGTAAACTATGAAATATTCTCTTCCTTCCTCCGGAGATTCAACTGGCAAAGCAATTCTGATAAAGTTTCCTCTACTTAACTTCAGAGCTTCCACCACGACAAGAATGAGCACTTACCAGTTGGAGGTTCATAAAATGACTTGAAAAAGTGAATCTCCAGGAAAACGTGTAGGATCTTCTGCCTCCTGGCTCTAGAGAGGATATAAACTGTTCTGGAGTCATCTGTAATTTTTCTGTGTATACAGTTATAACACCTGATCAGTGTTTTAGGGAAAAAAAAAAAGTTTCCCTATCAAAACTCATTATCATTAGTTTATTTTAGGATAAATTTTACACAACCCCTGTAAAATTAGGTCCTGCTGCATAATGTACTGTACAGGTGCATTAAAAGCACCGGCCTCTGATAGGAAGGTTTATGATCTGAAGCATATGGACAGACAGGAAATGTTTTCGCTCCCGATTTCCAAATGAGCAGCTGAGGCTAAAGAAATACCAGTCCTGATCTGATGCCACCTCAAAGTCTCTCGTTGTTCTGAGCAAGACTGGCCTGGGCTTATAGTCTGTGACACAGCCAAGAGTTAACATCAGCTTTCCAGAAGGTTTTTAGTTGTATTTTTCCCATTTTTTTTAATGTTTCTAGCTTTGCTAGTTCATACTTGCTAGAATATGTTCCTCCCCTACAAATATTCAGTGTGTTGGTTTTAATCCTCAGTCTGTTTAGTAGCTCACTTCAAGATGCTTTCTAGGACTTTATTGTAATGTCTAGTAAAAATGTCTTATATTTTGATAGTATTTGAGGCTGTACTCTTTATTCTATTGTCTTTTCTGTTGACGAACAGATTAACTACTTGACAAATATTTCTTTTGTGAAAAAGCAGGGAATTGATATCAGCTGACATCTTAGCTTGTAATCCAGGAACTACTGATTTTATTCTGTAAGACCAGGCTGAGGGTCAAAAATAAGAGCTCCAACACGCACTATATAAACTATAATTACGCTTTACAGGTACGAAGTGGACCCTACCCTGTGTCCCTCTATTGGTGACAGCCCTTGTTGAGTCCTTTGCATGTCAAACCTTGTTCAACCTCACCCATAGTGGTGAACTTTATACCAGTTTAGCAACTGAGCTGTCTGGTGGAGTCTCCGTAGTAAGTGCCTGAGTGGACGTTGAGCAAGGGTAGGGGGGCCTGGCTGATCAGAGCACGAGGGGATAGAACCACTTTATATCAACCGGGATTGGGAGTGCTGGAGAACACGAACTCCGCAACAAGCTTCTAGTGTCACGTGTTTGCACAGGGTTGAGACCGAGCTAACGTCTGTTACTCATTTTGCCCATTCCCTGCTTAGAGTCCTTGACATTACTTGTGAGACTTTCTGTAATAGGGATGGGAGGGATACTTAATTGACATTATCCCAAACTTCTGTACGTACTGTGGCAAGTCAGCTGCCTTATCCCTGAAGTGACACACGTCTGAAAGTACACATGAGGATCGAGGAGTGGAATGGTGCTGCAAGAAGACTATTGTGCAAGGCAGCAGTGATCCTCATGATTACTGCCTTCTCATGTACACAAGTGCATTCTGAATAATCTGTGACTGCTTACCAACCCGCTACAGCAAAGTGTCCGGAATTATTCAGGCATGTGTCTCTGTACCATGGACACCATGTTCTGTGCAGTTGTGTAATTAATCAGCGTACGCACAATAGACGTGCATGAATTCAGTATGAGACTAGTGTATTGTCTTGTCCCCCTGAAATATTATATGCACCTGCTCAGGGATTGTAACTCTATTGAAGTAAGGATATTGGAGCATATGGTCCAAGGGACTCTTCAAGGCTAAGTCCACGTTCCAAGTTTCACTGCTACGAGTGACTGATGAATCTGTATTGTGAGCAAGACTCTTGCACAGTACTAGAAATCCTGGGGCTGGCAAACCTTACCACAAATGAGAAATCTGTACAGCATGCAGTGATCCACAAGGCAGGGCTTGCCCAATGCTGCAGTTTTCATCTTTTACTCCAGCTTGGTTAACCAGCTTTGAGTGTCGATGCTTTTCTTCTGAGATCACCAAAGAACTGGCACCTCCTTGCTGCAAAACGTTGTGCTAGGTGAAAAGTTGAAAGCTGCAACTAACTCAAATTAACCATGTTGCTTCTTCCTGATATCCTGGAATTGTGTGTTTCTGTCAGTAAAACTATGTAAGGCAACACTTGGCAGCTTGTCAGCACAGTGTATCTTTGTGGGAGGGTTGATTTGGCAAGGGGAAACATCAAACTTAATGTGTGGGAGGGCCAGATCCTGGGGTTTTCCAAGATATTTTTTTTTCCGCGTGCAATTTCCCGTCTTGTGGAGGACAGGCCAGTTGAGAGAATAAAAGGCTGCAGTAAAGGCAGAGGATTACACAGTCCAGACACTTGGAGCTGAACTTAATCTCCAAGTCTGTATTCAGCAACTTGGCAACAGAAAGCAGTCACAAAGAAATAGCACAGAGAACTTTTGGCACCCGGCCACCACATCTATAACCTGTGAGTATAAATGGAGTGTGTTCTTCTATTTTAGTGCTCAACTAAAGTAAAACTGGACAGATGAAATTCCGTGTTGCTGTTCTTTAAAAGCTGCTTACATAATTGCTTAAAAGATTGCATAGACAGTATTTTATGTTAAATCATAAAACGTATTTGTTCTTTACAAATGTGTTTCTTTGATCTCTCACAGTCATCTGCTTCAAAGATAAAGAGAAGAGAAAACTCTCAGAAACATGATTTGCTTGTGGTTCCTATCTCTCTTTGCTTACGGTAAGTGTTATTTCTCTGTGTAGAAAACTAGCTGGCTGGCAATATTAGTGTGACTGTTCTGTTTGGGCTCAGAATTAAACAGAATTTTTGAACCTGACCTAATTAACTTTGAGGCTGGGTTCACATAGAAAAGCCTCTCGCTGTGATAGCATGTTGCCCATCAAATACATAATCGGCTCCTATAATTTGCTATGAAGTCTGCGAAGCTTTGTGTGACTGAACTTAGTTTCATAGGCTGAAGTCCCTGCCCTTGATGCCTTTGAAGCTTTCTGGTTGATTGTTTACACAATAATTGCCACTGCTTTCTATCCAGTTTCAGATATTGACAAGTTCGCAGTATTTATAGAGCTTTGTGTATCTTCTTCTAGAGAAGGAAAAACGTCAGACACCAACTTTTTGATATCTTTTCATTCTAGGCCTTACAGTGCTGCAGGGGGTAAATTGTTGGACATACCATTATTCAGACACAAACATGACCTACAGAGATGCGGAGCTGTGGTGCAAAACCAGGTATACTAACATGGTTGCCATTCAGAATAAGGAGGAAATCAACTATCTCAATGACAATTTACCCTTCAATCCGGGTTACTACTGGATTGGAATCAGAAAAATTAATGACGTGTGGACCTGGGTTGGAACTAACAAAGAACTGACAGAAGAGGCAAAAAACTGGGCTTCTGGTGAGCCGAATGGCAAAGGGAACAACGAGGACTGCGTTGAAATCTACATCAAAAGAGGGAAGGATGACGGCAAATGGAACGATGAACAGTGTGAGAAAAAGAAGGTTGCTTTGTGCTATACAGGTACGGGGTGATAAAGGCAGTTCCAGTGTGCCTCTGTGGAGATGAGACAGTGGGTGGGATGAGCTGGTTAACTTAGTCTTACATCTAACCGACCTGACCCGGTAAGCAGTTGTGCACTTACTTACGGGGCTGAGGTTGTCCTTGTTCTAAGACTTGGATTGATCTCACTTAGCTTTCAGCTTCCAGAATATTATACATCTTTTATAAGCAAATCACCAGACCTTCTCTGTAATCAGTGCAGAGGTTCTTCTCAAGGATGACTTTCATCCTACTCTCAAGCGGTTGTCTCAGCTAGATAAGAATTGCCCTTTTGGAGACATCCGATGTTTTTTCCCTACCCCATAGTATATCATTCCTTTTGCATTTTAAGTATTGCTAATGTCTACCATGGTGTTTCTAGCCAGTAGAATCCTTTTGCTGCAAGCTAGTTTGTCAAAGGTGTTGCTTTCTGAAATCCTTCTGTGAAGTGACAGGGTAATCTTATGTACCAACCCCCCATTTTTCTTCTGCTGTATAAAGTACTTGTTTAGTGCCAGAACAATAAACAAAGTGTTAGCCAGGTTTCATTAGTGGCCGTTACTGATTCTTTTGTAATTTATTGTATTATTTTTTCTTCCAGCTTCTTGCAACCCATCTCTTTGCAGTGGCCATGGAGAATGCATAGAGACTATTAACAACCACACCTGCCGTTGTAACCCTGGATTCTATGGGCCTGAATGCGAGTTTGGTAAGATTACTTCATCCTTCTTTTCAACTAAAGCAACATTCATACGAGCTAACATTTAGTTTGTCTGGCTTGTTGATTTACCTGCTCAGCCAATGAGACTGACTGTGTACTTTCATGTGTTTCTTTGAAGTTGTGAGCTGTGATCCACTAAAGGAACCTGGTCATGGGACCCTCGAATGCAACCATCCACTGAAGAAGTTTGGCTACAACTCATCCTGCACAGTTTGGTGTGAGGAAGGCTATGAACCGAGTGCATCGGAGTCTGTACACTGTAACTCTTCTGGGTTCTGGTCTGCCACTGTTCCAGCATGCAAAGGTGAGCTTCTCAGGCACTGATAGATGAGCTTTCTACACTACACATAGCTCTGTAAATTTCAGTATTGCTCTGTTAGTATGTACAAGTTGAAGTTCTGGCCTGTTCCTTTGCAATTAATTATGTGGTGAAGGTGCTGTTTTAGTGCAGCACACAGGTCTCTGTTCCTAAAGAGGTGAAATGGGCAGGATGAATGTTCTAGCCCTGGTCTACATTTCCTTTGGAAAGACTTTTTCTGCCTCTTTGAGGGGAGCAGGGAATGGAGATGATCTTGCTGTGACACTGCTTACAGCAGGCCAGTTATTTCTGACTGTAAGATTTTTTTTCAGTTGTTCTCCTTAGAACAAACTACTGTTTGAAGCAAATAAAAGCATCAAACTTCAATGGCAGTAGTCAAAATTTTGGATTGTGACTGGTTGCTTTCATGAGCTACAGATGAATTTACAGCCTTGCTTTAAAAGTCAGTCTTCCATTGTGAAATCTTTCTACTACTATCTGCTTTCTGAAATGTCAGCATAGTAGATCACTTTTCTAAAGCTGCTTCTACTTAGTGGATATGTTGCTAGATTTCAGAAATGAAAAAAAAAATTTAATTATTTGTTTTAAGCTAATCTCTGTACTGTCTCTTATGCGTTTCAGCTGTGACCTGTCCTGCCTTAGAAATCCCTGCTCACGGTGCTGTGAACTGCTCCCTAGGGGAGCTCT